ATAAAATCTAAATACATAAATAACGTATTCTTGTTTTGGGTGTGGTCACATCATGCCCATCTGGTGTGACACACACACCTGTTACCAGAGTATGTGTATTCCCGTTACAGAAACCGGATCAAAATGCAAGCTGAAGTGTCCGTTGGGCCGAGTGGCCCGCCTCGATGGGTCGGCGAAGAATAGGTAATAGCAGGACCACATCAAATTATCCGACAATGCGAAACAATTTATCTCAAGACTCGTTGATCTAAAACATGCTGTCTTTGACTATCGGGGTGTAGCTCCCATATCTCCTGCCTCAAACAATTCAAGTTTTCGCGTGACTTCGCGTCTCCATTATCTCCGTCATCTTTTATTCTTTCGGTCAAGGGTGGCACCACGTACCTACTCTTTTAACAACTTTTTCTTAAAAATGTAAAAAAACCTTCTCTACATTCTCAATAATAGGTTTATTTGATTAGTCATTATTACATTTCCATGACTCGTAAGTCTGCCGCCTTTCATTTCTAAACTAATAATGGTCGAATCTAATCAAGCTATTCCGTCGCTCGCTGCGCTATGTGTGGCGCGTCTGGCCAATGGCGCCTCTCAGCGCGCACTACTTAAAATTCTACGGTGCGTTCTCTTTTTTGCTCTGGATCGTTTTGATGTGATCCTCACTATGATATTATGGGAATTTATTCATGTATGCCCAGTCGATTACCTGAGGAGCTGGTACAGACGTTGCTATCGGACATGAAAATTTTCAAGAAGCTGACAGATGATCGTCTTGCCGCATTCTTTATGATTTCGCGTCGGGTACTGAACCTCTCGGGCTGCTTTTCTGTGCGCAACTCAATTTTGCGCCAGATTCCCTTTCGCTGCCCGGAGCTGGTATTCACTCTATCAAATTTATATGTAATACTTCTTTGACCAGCGATACTAATTTGCTAGTGATTTGTTGCGCAGCGCTGCTTAAATCTATCGAGTTGTCCTCAGATCACTAACACAGTGATCCGTGCGGTGCTTCAAGGTTGTTCGAATTTGCAGACGCTCCAGCTCGATGGGTGTCGCCATATTACAGACGCTGCATTTCAACCGGATCATTCACCATTTTACGCGTTACATGCGTGCACTTCGTTGAAGGTTGTGAGTTTCGCGCGTTGCTCACAATTAACAAAGGACCTCGTTCTATTTCTCGTAAAAGCATGTCGATCTCTTACCGACATAAATTTTTCACGCTGCAAGGTGAGTTTGCGTTTAAAACAAGGTATATTGTGCAAAAGTGATTTTCTGACAGTATCATGATAACTCTGGCTTTGTAGCGAATTAATGATGATGCAATTCATTTGCTGCTTCGCTCGGCAACTGATTTGCAACGTGTGAATCTGTCCTTCATAAATATTTCTGACAAAGCGTTCACGACAGAGCCATCTGACCAGCGCAATGGATTCTACAGTATGGGTCGCGATTTGCGTGCCATCGACCTAACGCAGAGCATCATCACTGATCTCACGCTGTTTGTACTAGCAAAACACTGCCCGCATCTAGAAGAATTGAAGCTTAGTTGCTGCAGCGAAATCACCGATGTGGGCGTCGAGGCACTTATGCGTTCTTGCACGCGCCTTCGTCGGTTGGACCTGACGAATTGTGCATGGCTTACTGACCGGGGTGTGGCTATGATTGGAACCTACGGTCATCAGCTCAGACGATTGAATATGTCGTGGTGCATGAACATTACTGATAAGAGTGTCGTTGATATTGCTCGCGGCTGCAATCACCTGCAGGAAGTGGTATTGGTGTGGTGCACGCAACTTACCGGTGCTACGATAGATGCTTTCTTACCGGATGACGAATCGACTTCCGACCGGTCTAAAGGTGTCAAACTCAACTTATGTGGTTGCAAAGGGATTAGCCGCGCACACATAGATAAGGCTCGCAGCAAGGGGCTAGAGATTGTCCTTGGCGCATGACGTCCAGATAAATACAATTTATTTATTGATACCTGACAAATGATAGAAATGATTTTTACATTTAGAAATTCTTAATTAAATTCTTCCCACGTGGCGGTTTAGTTGACGTTTTCAATCGCACCATGACGCTGCGGCGCTTTGATATTAACGTTAAGGGTGTGGAAGGCATCCAAGAGCGCACAATTGGTGGAGGCGTGGTGACGTTGTTGAGCTGTGCATTTGCTATCTTCTTGATGCTGTCTGAGTTCTCCGTCTGGTGGAGCGTGGACGTCATACACCACATGCACGTGGATACTGAACCAGTAAGTGCAAACACTCACGAAATTTACAATCATGGCATTTATTGTTATGATCTGTACTTTATTTGGGAAGCAGCAAGACCTCCCTATCAATATCGAAGTTGACGTCTCATTTCTTCATGAAAACTGCCAAGGTGCTCGATGCATTCTCGTAAGTATGTGGTAATTAATTGCTTACAAATGATTGCTCTCTATAGAGGTGGCGATGGATGTAAGCGATTCGAAGGGACGTAAAGCGATTCTTATTTCAAAGAACATCGAGGAAGAGCCGTATGGAGAAAACGGCTGCAGACTACACGGCACAGTTCAGGTGCAGAAGGTGGCAGGCGAGTTGTCTTTCGCACACAAAGGCTCACTTACTGTCTTTTCCTTCCTTGATTTTCTAAACTTTAATTCATCCCATGTCGTCAACCACTTGCGCTTCGGCCCGCAAATTCCCGACATGGAGACGCCTCTCATTGATGTCAGCAAGATTTTGACCATGAACTGTAAGGAAATGATCTGTCAGCTGTCGAATGTTGTGGATTGACATCACTTGACACTTATCATTTAAATCTGTAGTGGCAACATACAAGTACTTTGTCAGCATCGTGCCTAGTCGCTACGTTTATTTAAACGGTCGGTCGGTAACAACATTCCAGTATTCAGTGACAGAGCACGAGACGGGCTCGAGAGGCACAAACGGTCAAATGTCATTTCCTGGCGTAATTTTCTCGTATGACTTTTCCCCGATTGCTGTCGAATACATCGAATCCAAGCCTTCTGTTTTGCACTTTCTTACCAGTACAAGCGCTATCGTGGGTGGTGTCTTCGCAGTCGCTCGTATGATCGACGGCGCAATCTACAGCATCTCTAAGAAGATCGATTGAGACCAATCTGAATAGGCTTATCGCCTAGATACTGTTACGTAAAACGACCGTATCTTCGGTTACAATAGTTGGTGATAAGCATAACGAACATTTGACAACAATAGATTACTGTACACATGATATATTGGATACTTGTCTTACTTACACTATCTCTTGGACGCTATCGTAGTTTCTCTCGTACTGTTGCATCTTCATTACGCGCTTCCTAACAGTCTTATCCGCTGATGCAGTTTCTCCTTTCGCGTATAATTTGCAATCCAGCTGTCCATACTGTTGTCAATAAACGTCTCGTTTTTTAGATCCTCATGAAGTAGCGAAACTAAAGCTGGTCAGGCAACGCGTTCACCACAGCTGCCGCATCGGCAACAATTTCTCTAGCCAAATCACACCTTTGCTCACGTGTACCAAATATGATTGCAAATAAGCCTTGATGCGGTCTATTCAATGACATTGACGACAGCAGTATAATGGCAAAAGACCCAACATGAACATGTGAAAGCTGCCACCATTGTTAGTGCGAAAAAATAGATACCACTTTTGTTAGCCTCTTCTCGACGAAACGAATGTTGATTCATGAACTTTCCAGAGGGAATCACGAAGCTCTTGTAAAGATTTTGAGCGTAAAGACTTGAGTAGCATGACTCAAGGTGTGCATTTATTGGTCTTTTTTGTCGATATTCTTTCCAGTCTTCGCGTTCACAATGAAAATGCCGGATGCTATACCCTTCTTGGTATAATAGCAATTCCGTATACATGTGACGACACGAAGCTCTGTTGCGTACTTTTGCGAGAGCATGATGATTCTCGCCAAAGTGCAAACACGCAGCACCGACAACTCTAGCCTTGCTCCGCAACAAAGCCGAAGTGTCTCGAGGGATCTCAAACACCGTCAGTTTCACGATCACGTCATTGCACAGCGGCAATTCTCCGAGTACTTTACCCCTTCAGATGATAACAGATAATTACGCTGCTACAGTTCTATCACAGAAAGTTTTCAGACGCTTGAGTTTTCTTAACCGACAGCTCACGCAAGCCAAGTCAAAAATGCGCATACCCTGTGGTGCATGTTATACGCAGCATACGCAGAGAGTTCACGCAAACAACACGCAAATGCTCAGCAGTAGAAGAAAAAGGCCGATCAAAGCTCTTTGGATTTCATTTGTATAAGCGGTAGTTGTACCGCAGTTTGACCGGTACTTTATTTTTAGTATAGGTTATGTGGAAATTAGCTCCCAGGAATTGGGCTGCTCGTGCGGCTACTAATTTTCGCCAAGCGCAAGCGTTTCCTTTGGTTTCGGGCTACTCAACATCAAAAGATTTGAACGGTGACAAGATAGCGGCGCAGTCAAAGAAGTGGCAGCAACAAAATCCCGAAGACAAGGCGAAATTTTTGTCCGTGCAGGTGGATCGCTCTACACTTAAAACTGTTGGCGGCGCATTGGCTAGCAACAGGCCTGTGGATTTTCGGCAAGAAAAAAGCGAGGAAAATGCACTTGTGCACTTGTTACGCTCGATGATTGAGGTCAAGGGGCCACTCACAGTGGCCGAATTTATGACGCGGGCTCTGAACCACCCGGACCACGGCTACTACATGAAGAAGGACGTGTTTGGCAGCAAAGGAGACTTCATCACAGCGCCTGAAATCAGTCAAATGTTTGGCGAGCTTATTGCAATCTGGTGCGTGGCAACATGGCAGCAAATGGGCATGCCCAGCCACATTAAGATTGTGGAATTGGGTCCGGGTCGAGGCTCCCTGATGAGCGATTTCCTACGAGCTGCTAAGTCATTTCCGCCATTCTACGACGCTATTGAGGTACATATGGTGGACATAAGTCCAGGTACGATTGCGCACAGGTGGATAGGAAAATGAGATAATCTAACGATATTGGGAATTTGTTTTCCAGTTATGCAGAAGATTCAACAAGAAACGCTCAAGTGCGAGCCGATTGAAGTCACAATGACGCCGGAAAACTGGATGCAGATACCAGACAGCGGACCTAAAATTCGCTGGCACACTGAATTTGCAAACGTGCCGCATGGTCCAAGTCTGTTGATTGCACAGGAATTGTTTGATGCGATGCCTGTGCATCAATTTGAGTATACGAAACGGTACGTTAAACAATACATTCGTAGTGGTATGTGACTTACCGTTGATATGACAGTGGCTGGTGCGAGCGGCTAGTAGATATCGACCTGGAGAACGGTGGCGACCATTTTCGCTTTGTCTTATCGCCTGGCCCAACGCCAGCTACGCGCGTATATATTGGACGCGAGAAGTTGTATGATCCGTCGAAACATTTATCAACTGTGACAGAGACGCAAGTTTCGGGCGTCGAGGATCTGAAGAAGGTGAAAAATACGGGGGTTTATTGCGCGGACTTATTGGACGTGGCTGGCACACCTATACGTACGGCAGAGGCTCAAATTGGAGACAAAATCGAAATTTCGCCTCTTAGTATTGCACTAGTGCAAGACATAGCTAAACGCATCTCACAGTCTGGTGGTGGGGCTTTGATTGTGGACTATGGCTACGACCATCCATCAGCGCTCAGTTTACGAGGTATACAAAATCACAAATTCGTTAGTGTTCTGCGCGAGCCTGGTGATGTCGATTTGAGTATCGACGTTGACTTTTCAACACTTCGACGATTTGCATTAGCCGAGTCTAAGGTGAAAAGCTCAGGTCCTGTAGGCCAAGGCAACTTCTTAAAAAATATGGGAATCAAGCTTCGTCTAGACATGTTGCTACAAAACACCGAATCTAAGAAGGTCCAAGAAGATCTGATATCATCTTATAAACGTCTTGTGGATCCTGACCAGATGGGTTCCGTATTCAAGGCCATGGCACTGACTCATATTGACTTAGGACAGCCTGTTGGCTTTGAGACTACTGATAACGAGGTATAGTACAATTGATCTCTCACAACAACTACACACCTTTTTGTGCGTTGAGTTATATTCCTTTAACGTCAAGCAATGAAATAACTCCAGCAAATATAAGTAGAAAAATGCTCATTTAATACCTAAGCGCAGCCAAAAATGAAGTCTTAAAGCACAGTGCTACAAGCCTACAAGGATTCGTTGCCATCCATATATTAAATTCCTCTTACACCTTGAGTGGACCATGATTAGGACAATACTTTTCATGGTTACCATCAACGCTAAGCAAGCCGCTAGCACGCATTTCAGCATACACTTCACGTTCGTATTTCGTAAAGCCCCACTTTTTCGAGCCCAATACTTTCTGACGACCTGGAAATTTGAACTTGGCACGACGCAACGCCTCCACAACAGAGGGGCCAAATGAATCTTTAGATCGAACCGAGATAATTGGCTGACCAATTGCCACGCGAGCAGCCACACCAGCAGGCTTACCGTAGGCGTGACGCATACCAGTCTGCAGCCTATCAGCACCAGCACACGAAAGCATTTTGTTGATACGCAAGACCTGGAATGGGTGACAGCGAATACGCATATGAAAGTTGTCCTTGCCGCAAAACTTGGTTAAGTATCGATTGGCAGCAATACGAGCAGCCTCGAGGGCTTCTGATGACAACTGCTCCTTTTCGTCGGACACAAGGTGAGCTACGTATGGAAAGGCGTCCACCGAGGCCTTCTTGTTACCCACATCGTAGATGCGAATCTTCGGGTCAGGAACACCACGGCAGAAGCGCGACTTAATAAACGGCTTCTTGTTTTGGAAACGGTAGCACTTAGCAGGACGACGACCCATTTTTAGCTTCTTGGCAAATGGCACGTTTGGAGAATAAGGGGGCAACCTCTTGTCCACTCAGCACGAAATTCGATTCCTCTTCCACGGATTGGATGAAAGTCTAACTATCTAAAAAAGGCGATATGTTAAAAGCAAATTTTGTGAAATTACACAAACGTTAAAATACCAAATGCTAAATATAACCTGTTATACCAGATCGGTTACACGTCAAATTAAAATACATACTTCCTCTGTCCGAAAATATAAGCTGGTGTCTATTACTGCGCGTGTCCGAAAATA